CGAAAATAACAAAAGTGCAAACATCTGCGAATACAGGTGCTTGTCCGTTTAGATGACTGAAACAAGGTAAAAAAAAGTGGATATATAATATAGTTTTTATTTATAATCATGAATGTTTACACTATCTTCTAGGTCACTCGGACGACCCTTGATGCCGACTAATTATTTGCGTGCATCTCTCCTCATGGGTCGTCTGAATGATTCTTTTCTATCTTAGAGTTACCATATTCACTGATAAATGGTGTCCGGTGGTAGTTGTCAGTCAAGCGAGTTAACTTTGATACTTTTTTTTACTAATAACGAAGATTTGCTGCATAACATTCATTTCTCGGACCATTCCATTTCCTGCAGTCTAAACAATCTCTATTTTATAACTCTTACCATAACAACTGGCGTCTTCCTCTTTGATCAGCGACCCTGCATCGCACTTGTACGTCATTGTTTTTAACAGGGCGATATCGAGAAGATAATTGATATTTTGAGGATATCGAAAATTATGTAGAATTTTTACTAATTGGCCTTTTCGAGGCATATTTTTCAACCCGTAGCTAAGGTCATTTACTTAAAATGGCTTGCAAACGATACCTTAATAGGGGTTTTTGCGTCACTTTTTAAGATTATATCGAAGATGTGCTATCTGCACATTTAATCTCTTTTGTTTGCTGGCATTTTTTATCCCAGTTCATGGACATTTGGTAACCACATCAAAATCGCCGGCAGGCTCATTGGTAGGTGATGTAGCACTAGACAAAGCAAGCAGAAAAGTTGTCAGAGCTGGTGATCCATGCTATGAATTGCGAATGAACAAAGCTATATCATGTAACAATCGTATTTTCTGCACAAAATGATATGAAAAAGCAGAAATTTATGTTAATAAGGCATAAGTCTGACTAGATTTAAAATAGGTCGATTTTTTAGTGACCAGTGGTACGTAGAAGCCGGAAAATTTGTCCAGGGATGTTAAATATTAAAAATATTAAATGTCAAAAATATTAAACTGAATGAAAAATAGAATGTAGTAGAAAGAATTGATGCCATTTTAGTTGTGGATCTCAGAGTTTTCTTTGTCCACCAAGATATTTTGGTGAAAATATCAGAACTCAATGTTAACACAATTCTCCGTTTTTGTCCTGGAAGGAATTTAAATTGCGTTGTATTTTAAGGACAAGCAAGAGCTAGAAAAGATTATGAATTCGGCGAGGGAAGAGAAGCGACAAATGGAGAAAAGTATCAGCCAGAAATACGACGAAATATACCGGCTATTGGAATTAACTAACGAGTTGTCCAGGGAGAGCGGTGTTGCTGAGGAAAATCTCATTACGCCTTCCGTTATACCTCCCAATAAAATAACTCCGTTAGTTTTTTTT